AGAAATATTTAGTTGTAAATAGGTTTTAATGGGTTTTAACCCGATTTAAACCATTAACGAAGTGCCGGATTAAAACTACGCTACGACCCAACGCTATGCGCTAGTGCAAAGCGAGCCGAGGGCGCGGGGTACGAGAGGGGGGACTGGCGAGCATAACATTTACAGACAAAGACAAATAAAACGTGACGACAATAGTAGCTGCGACTATCTGTCGTCGCGTTTTTATCGTGACGTTTTATTTACGACGACCGTCGCCGTGGGTAGACTTACCCATTGCCACGACTGTCTGTCGTCGTAACGACAAAAAAATCGTGAAAGTCAAAGTCAAACAATCATTTATTCCATAGGCAAAGTTTTTACACTTAAAAACGTCATTTTCTAAGCTACTGCTCGTTCAATACACTGACCTCCCAAAATGCTATGGAATACACTTTGAATCATAATTGTGTGGAATCTAGACTCTAGTTGTCTTTCCATACTTCTTTATCTAACACGTAGTCTACAATTTTATAATATGACTTTTCAATTAACATACTTTTAACCCTTATACTCTTTTGACATGTGTCATACTTTACACCCGTAAGCTCGCACGCTGTCATGGCAACGATCGTAAATATTTGCCGACATTTACAAAAGTTGCGATAATTCAAAAACTATCAAACGGTTTTACTTGAAATAAAAAAAAAAGTATTCTGCGATAATGTTGTATTTTTGTGGTAAGTAATTCAAAGGGATTTATCACCTCATACCATTATAATTACTCGACAAACTTACACACAAGGAAAAATAGTAGGTGTAGGTTGTAAATAAATCATTTTTGAAAATATTAGGCAACTTCGATCAAATAAGTTATACAATTTGTAATGTTGAATGTATAGCTAAAAATCCTACATAAGTGGTTTTATGTCTTTCAATAAAGATAACAGAGCTAAATGCCTTAGAACTAAGCGGCCATTTTCTGACTGTCGGATAGCGAATTTAAATTTGTATTATCAAGTAATTGTTGATCTTCAACCAAATTGGAAAATAAATTAGTTTCATTTGAAGAAAATATACTTATTTCATTGAAACATACATTGAATTATAGAAATATTCAACAGATAATAACAAGCAAGGCTTTATGAGATAGGGATACCCCATTTGCATCTCGTTTTTCTTTTGTCTTATACTCTTACTAGAAATATTTTTCAGGTGAAATAAAACAACGTATATTGTAACAGAATAACTGTATTTTTCTCTGTTACACTCATTTTAGACGTCATTCAAACAAAATATAAAAGAAAATCATAATCAAAACCGTCACTTATTTGTATGAAAAAGTTGAGTGAAATAGTGATGTACCGATGCCGATTGAGGTATCGATAAATTACGTACAAATGATGAACCATGCTACTAAATACTAAAAGTGAAAAAAAGAGACGAATGGGTACATAAAAGGTCTTACGATACAATATCGAAGTTTTTTATTGACAACTTATTATAAAATAATGAACTCCTGCACCACCAACACCAAACCAGATGCAATTTATCATAATCATATAAACAAATTATTTCTTTTTTATCACGAGTGGTGAGGTCATATAATGTTATCACTCTCGTACATAAACTGTCTTACGATAATATATCGATAAATCGATATATTATCGATATATTATGATCAATGCGTTATGGGCAGTATAATGATTTTCGAAAAAACTCTGCTACTAGCCCATGAAACTGACTCGTCGGCTTGCTCCTCTTCCTCGTCGGTATCGCTGGCTCTGTAAAGAAAAGAAAGATATTATAGAATAAGAACATCTGTATACAAATATTGTGATAGTTTTGTACCTAATTAGAGCATAATAATACTTACACAACGTCTGATATGGTTCTGGCCTCGCCATAGGAGCCAGAGTTCCGTCGCTCTGCACCACGAAAATATTACTTCCAGATAATAGCTGCAATGAAACAAAATTGTTATTACTAGCACAATATTTCAAAAATATCGTAACTACGACCTATATTTATCTTAACAAAAATACCCAATTTACAATGTGAGACGCATGTATATTTTTTATCCTACCCTATACAACATTATCGCCTACACCTCTTGTTATGGTTAACTCAACCACTTATGCTCATAACGAAATTCTTTGAAATCAGTTTTGTTAACGTAAGTGGCATAAATCATAGCAAAAGTAAATGTGACCCTTCTTTGTTTCACTACAAAGTGGGGCCACTTTGTAGTGAAACAAACAACACTCCAAAAAAAAAGGGTCGCGTCTGGCAGAGCAGGTAGCAAGGCAGGACAGAGTCACGCTTTGTTTCTCTGAAGTACTTTGCTAAAGAATTTGCACTAACTAAACAATTCTGATTCCCACTGGACCGTCTATTGGCACATTAAGATAAGCTTTGAAGTAACTGAGCATTTCATGAAGGGAACACGGGCGGGCGGCCACACTGGATAGGAATGTGAATGAATGTTTATAATTTGGGCTGCGGATGCGGAGGTCCCGCGTTTGATTCCCGGCCGGGTCAACGTAGAAAGACAAATATTGTCTTGGGTCTGGGTGTCAGTGGTAACTTCGTTGTTTCCGATTTCCATAACACAACTTACTTTAGCTACTTACTTTGGGATCAGAGCAACGTATGTGATATTGTCTAATATTTATTTATGCATATAAACATTACCTACGAACATATGTTTGAGTATAATACTATCTGTTACTCACGTTCAGTTGGCCGATTTGCGCTGCTAGGTCGCCCTCCTGTTCAATTTCCTCCTCAACGATCTCCTCATCTCACTCAGACTCCTCATCGTTGAGGATATCAATGAAATCATTGGGCACGCTTTCGTTTCCGGGGTTCCACATCTAAAAAACATATTATCAGTGCTGTATAAACTAAATACATACACAAAATCGTACCTTCCTCGGGTAGGCAGAGACCACAATTTACTACTATATAAATTATGTACAATAAACATTTTTACAATTATTTACTATGAAGTAACGGTACGGAATATTTTATCCATATTGTAGCGGCACTTATTATTTTTTAACAATTATACCTACCTTGTTAGATACTTGGTTATCGAATCTTAGAACAAAAAAGGAAAAATGAAAGTAACAATATTTTACACTTTTCGTTCACAGATTGTCTTATCGATGTCACCTATATCGACATGGAAGCACTATTGCGAATATGGCGTATAAAAATGGCGGTCATATTTTTGCAACATGTCAAATAAAAGCAGAAATTTACGAAATTTATTCGCTTTCGATCAGAAATATAGGCAGAATCCTATAAAAAGATGTTGCACTTGTATTATTATTACATATTATGTACAACCAAATGTTTCTTTTAGTCAAATAACACATTATAAAGTGTTTGAAACACAGAAAAAGTCGTACCGATAACTTTGTAAGTGAAAATACTTACGTATTACTGCACTCACAATTCATGTTATGATAGCATTACTTACGTAAAAGTCCAATGCATATTTTCTATTAGCAATCGGAACAAAATTCACTCACTTTTCACTTGAAAACACTTATTTGATAAACTCAAACAACGCGCGCGAGCACTTCGTTCGCCGGGAATTTTCAAACTGATATAACTCGATACCACAAACAAAAGGTCACGAGTATTATACACCAAATGAAAGAGCACACCATCAGCTTTGTTTTTACGTACAAACCATCAATACTTACAAGGATTTGGCTACACCAAAAAAATCTTTTCAAATTGGTAGTGTATGCGTATGAATTCATACGCATGCTGAGCCTACGGTAGTAGAGCATTGTGCGTATGAAAACATACGCATGCTGAGTTTAAGGGTTAATGTAAGTTTTAAACTTAGGAAATGATAATCATAATACATTCTCTGGAATCTTACTGTCAAATAAGATTCCCTATAGAAGAATCGTTTACCTTAGTTAAACGAAATCGTGGTACCATGAGTTTTAACTTAGTTCTAAGGTTAATATTATGAATATCTTCTTTTACGGGCATACAAAATATTTGAGTAAATGTACTGTGATACTCCTTAAACTTTTCTCTGAGAGAAACCCGAGAACCTAAACGGTACACATAACACAAATATGTTTTTTACATCTGCCGCTTTACCCCACATGAGAATCCCGCAGGACATTATACTATGGAAGTAATTAAAGTAAACTAGTCTAGCAGTGACAACATCGGTAAGCTCACGTATTCTATGGACTGCGTATGCAGTCGTGTCGTTCTATATGTGAACAATTTCATTTAAATAAACAAGGCACGACACTGTAAACTGCACGAGTGTCTGTCGTCACGACATAGTGGAAACGCGCTCTAAGGTGACGATATCCATTATACATACTAGTGTTGGGAATATTTGTAGCTTCAGTGTTATCAGGCTTCTCTATTGCAATCGCTTCAGGTGGTTCGACTTCGGAGTCGCTTGCGTCGACCACGGGCTGGCAGTCGGTGAACATCCAGGCGGTCTGAAAAAATTAATCTAATTAATAATAATAATTTAGTAGTAGTAGAATTCCTTGTGAAAGAGCTCGACCAGGGAAATATCAAGACCAAAATATTTTGCGATTTAAAGCTCTGAGTGGCACTGCAACTGTTATGAACAGGAGTGTAGCTTTTCATCAGGCGCACGCTTAGTTGGTCCCGTCACTTGATTATATATGTATATAAAAAATGAGGACTTTTTTATGGTACACACAGTTACATATACCTTTATAGTCTGTCTTTTCTGAAGACGGAGTAAAATGACATTTACAAGGTTGCCAGTTTTCATAAAATTTAAAGTCGTTGTTGTCGACAGTTTTATCGATATTGTGAAAGATAAAGTTTTGCCAAAAATGACAATGTCTGTATGACGTTATAATGACTACTAATAGACTTTTTTGTTTGTTTGTTTTTTTTTAATTCGGGAGTTAGGGTCGTATTCCAGAACTCTACTCAATGCTCAAGTCAGGACTTCAGTATGATTTAAAGCACTAGAAATCATACTCAAGTCCTTGCCATTAGGGTCGTATTTCCAGTGCTTGAAATAGAGTTCTGGAATACGACCCATAATCACGTATAAAACATACTCACGTATAAAACATACTTTAATTACCTCGACGTTTCGGAGGTATTGCAAAGTCAATGGTCTCGATGGGACCTGAAGAGGCGGGAGTCAACATGTTGTAGTCTTCATTATTTATTTGTGCACTAGAGTTGTCACTACACCGACACACAACACTCACGACATAGATCATCATCGAGGATCATCGAGACCACAGACGTTGCAATACGCCCGGAACGTCGAGGTAATTAAAATGTCGTATACGTGACCTACTAGCATCAAGATTTTTATTCACACGCATTTTAACAAAAAATAGCTGGATTTTATTGTCTATATTGAATTAAAATCAAAAACTTTAAAAACGTCCTTAAATTTGTATTGAATTCATATTCAATTATTTTTTATGTGAAATTACTCCACTAGTTTGTTAAAATTATTAATACAAAGATGGAACACTCAGAAAAAATTCCTTCGATACGGCCTGATTCGAACCGACGTCTTCTAGCATACCGTGCCAGACGCTATACCAACTAAGCCACGGAACGGACCAGCGGAACTCACGAATTTTTCTGTATTTGTTGTCGTGTCTTTGCATTCAGTTTTTTCTACAACCTTTGTTGCAGCGTGGACTCTTCGTGGACGTGAAATAATACCTAGTTGATAAGAAATATTACTATATTTTCTGTAACTGATCACACGTTCCTCCACAATGTAGTACAATCACTTTATGTAAGTAATTTACTCGTCTAGCCTTTCGGACTCTTGCACACCACTCGACTGAGCACCGGCCGATTCCGCCACCTCGTCCCTCCACTGAACCCTACTTTTTAGTAGCAGGATGGGGGATGTGGCGGAAACGGCCGTTGATTAGCTAATGAGAAAATTAAGTAAAAATGCACTCTTTATATTCAAATACTTAAAATTATAGATGTGAATAATTATTTTAACGATCTACAATAAAACTTATTTGGTTGTAAACCTTTCCTTCGAATTAAACTGATATTGCAATTTAACGTTATGCAATTGTGAATAGCGCCATCTATTTGTCACCAATATTCTATACAATACAATGCCATCTAGTGGTCACATACGATACTATTTATTATGTGCTAGGAATCAGTTATTACATTAATTTACTATGCATGAATACACATTCCTTCAATCTACAATAAAACTATTTTACACTTTTTAGCCATAGCACCATCTATGAGAAATCTTAAGTATTTCATCATCCAGTTGATACCTTTACAGCTACCAGCCCTGGCTAGAGATGTCGCTATCCATTGTATTCAAATTTTAATTCAATTGATATTCAATTATTTTCTACGTGATCGATCTTTGTATTAATAATTACAACAAACTAGTGGAGTAATTTCATACACATGAACTGAAAAAATTACAATTCAAATGAACTTGTGCTCGTGGTTGACTGAATAATGAGTCTAGGACAATTCAAATGAAAAAACGTACGTCTATTTATTTCGTAAGCGTGACCAAAATCCGTCGATAGTCGATAGAATATTTCGACCCCTCCTACGTAAAGTATCGTATGTCGAAATTGCTAAGTTTACAGGGGAGCGTTTTAAACTTCTGAATTTACTGAAATAAGCATAATACGTGACTTTAGCATTTCTGTTTTATTCGGCAAAGCTTACGTTACTCACATAGAGTATTATAACATTCTAGATATCGGTTAGATGGTCTATGATTCTCTATTAGATGATCACTTTATGTGAGTAACGAGTGAATTCAGAACATTAAAACGCTCCCTTGTAAACTTGGCAATTTCGACATACGATCCTTTACGTAGGAGGGGTAAATTTATACACTGCAATCACTAGCTGGTCGCAAGCGGGCAACACTTTTGCACAATAAACTGTCATTTTACTGCATCTTCAAAAAAGACAGACTATAGTAAATCATGAGGTTCTTCGTCGAATGAGAAAAAATATACAAATGCTCAGAATTGTTAAGGAAATTTTGACCAGGTAATGAGTAATTTGAAAACTAATAAGGCAGGGAAAAATACAAGCGTAGTCGAGGCAGAAGAAAAGTCTCGTGGTTGAAGAACCTGAGAGACTGGTTCCACCTTAGCACAAGTTCCCTCTTTCGTGCAGCAGCTTCAAAAGTGAGAATAGCCATGATGGTCGCCAAACTTCATAGAGAAGCGGCACATTAAGAAGAAGATAGTCATCGAGTATATAACCAGAAATAGAGACGAAATCAGGGCTATACATTCCTGGCACCTCTTCAGGCAAATGGGCCTTATATCACTTTTAAATATGAATTCTCACAGCGCCAACAACTGACCTGTGTGTACGTCTCCTTATATTCCAAAAAAATATTATGTATAATATATAATATCTTTATAACAATGGCGTGCTGTACTATTCGGTGGTGTGGGAAAAACATCTAATTACAAAACAAACGGAATTACATTTCATCGGTAATGTAATTTTGCAATAATCGTCCATTATAACAAAGCTCAAGTTAAACTGGTCGTTTGAAGTGAAACAATTTGACGACACCCGTCAATTGTTTCGAATTCGTGCTGGCCAATCGGAGCATAGTTGTCATTGTAATGATTTGGTAGAATAGTTTTCAAACAAATTAAATGACATTTCGTCTCTATTTCTGGTTATATACTCGATGGAGATAGTAAATCATATTGTTAGGCAAATAAATATCATTCATTCATTTATAGGTCTCGCACAGATATTGCCACAATGACCGGTCTTGTCATCGTTCGTCGGTTCTTGTACCTGAATCCTTAACCCCGGTCAACTTTACGATGAATACCATTTCTCATTTTAAAATTGAGAAGAATTTAAAAATAACATACCCGCTTGAAATAATACTGACGTCGTTTGGTCGTACCGGGTCGTGCAGTGTCCGTGGCGTCAGTCGTGTCGCACACGTTGCCTGTCGTCTCGAGCTCGGCTGCTTTGAAGTTCTCTTTGCCTGTTTAAAAAGTATTAAAACTGAAACTCTTTTAACAGAATTATGAGTCTTTTATTATAACAAGTGACGTGAACAAATTGTGCGCCTGGTGGTAAGCGACACGCCTATCCATGACAGTTGCAGGGCCACTGCGCCCGTCACCCTGAGACATAAGTTGACAGTAAGTGACAAGTCCCATGTGCCTGTAATTTCACCAGCACCATAAAATGTTACTTATTCCATTTATCGAGTGATTGCTTTAGAATTTTAATCAAACCGGTTTGTTTACTTTTCTGGCATAATGAATTGGAACAGACTTTATATATGTTAGTTTATAAGGTATGTATTTTTGGGTCTAATTATCTTGGTACTTGGTGCAACTGGCTGGTATCCGCAACTCGACGACAAAGCGCCTATTTTGCGTGTCTAATTATATAAATAAATAATTTTTCTCAAACATGCTCGGAAGTGTTTGCATTACTTTCTAAAAGCGAACACGGAAAGTTTGTTATTTAAGGACCGTGAGACTTCTTCCCGGCCTAGAACTGCAAAGTAAGTATAAAAATCCATTACTGTCCACTTCTCTAAACTTGTAAATCTACTCACTAATAATGAACTATGTGAACAGGGAAAAGAAAAACTCATAAAGCCAATCGCGAAATGTTCGGAATTGCATCGTAATTTAAACGAAATTAAATTTCTTTGGTATTCTTTTCCGTTTTTTTTTTGGCCTTTTTCTATATTCATCGCGAAAATAAGTTCTAATGAGCAGAGCGATAACGAAAATCCCTGCAAATACTATATCAAATTATTACTTTTAATGAACACTTTTTTGACTTATACTCTTTAGTCTTCTACTATTTCCTCACATTGTTTGAGAAAATTACTATATAAGCTTCGGCGGGAACGGTTATTGCTTGACTTGTATTACTTTCCGGCCTCTGCAATAATATACTGTTACTTTGACGGCCTTACCTATAGGCATTAACTGATTGTCAAGCTCCCCGCTCTTGTGTAGTATTCTACAAGCCTGTAGAGCCACCATTCGTCTTGCTAAAACTCTCGTTGGCATCGGGTGACCCTGAAAAGATATACAAAGTTTTATTTATATTGAAAATCATGATGTTTTTTGTTCTATGTTTTGACCGACTTTAAAAAAGGAGAAAAATATGGAGTTTTTAGGTTTTCGCGGTTGTTACACATAGGAAATGAAACTATTTTTCCGGATTTAAATCGCGTATAATTGTTTTTCAGACAAACCGACGTTTCGGGCCCTTTACAGGTCCCATGGTCACGGTTGACAGTCAACCGTGACCATGGGACCTGTTTGTTTGATAAAACAAATATACGCGATTTAAACCCGGAAAAATAGTTTCATTTCCTAAGGAGAAAAAATTCTCAATTAGATTTTTTGTCAGTTTTTCATGTTTTAGTAATAATACACTTAATTTTGTGTTCAATTTTATGTGTAGAATAACTTAACCAATGAAATGAAGTGTACTAAAGTCTGTTCCAATTCATTTTCAACAAAAAGTAAACAAAACTGTTTGGTTAAAATTCTAAGGCAATCACTGAATAAATGGAATAAGTAACACTTTCACGTATAATTCGAAGATTTCGACTTGATATATCATCACTTTTTCCAACAATATTTATTTGAATAGCATCGTAAAATTGTATTTGAAAAACGGTGGTACAAAAGTGAGGTTATTTTTCATCTATACATATATGACTTGTCTATGGTTGCATAGTGCTGTACGAAAAAAAACATTCGGTTCATTCAATTTAAGTTTTTGTAATCGATTAGTAAATCGAATTTTTCAATTGCAGTCGAACAAGTATCTAAGTGTAAGGATTTGAAATTAAGATTTCGGAAACTTCAAATATGCTTATATAGGTTATGTGGCGAAAACCGCTAGTATGACTCAATTGAACAAATCGATTCATTTAATTAATTAATCGATTTGTAGTTGGCATTACAATTGGCCATCACTAAACCGTCTATGGTCGGGTCAGTGAGTTGTTTGTTTACTTTTTGTTCAAAATGGATTGAAACGAAGTATAGTATCTTGTGTGCTAATAAATGTTCGTTCAAGTGTCGCCTAGGGGCCACTTTTTGTAAAGGCCTAAGTTTTTGCTTTGCTACGGCTTTACTAGCGACAATAAAGTGTCTTAGGTGAGCCACTCCGGGTACCGGAGCTGTAGGCATGCTCACTTCCCGTTGCGCATTGCCACCACTAAGTCGTCGACTCTAAAGTCCACTATCAAATCTCCTCTTTGGTTGCGCAGCTGTAAAGCACGCTCACTTCTCGACGCCGAAAAACGGCGTGTCTCCAGTTCCCATTTCAGCGGATCAATCGATTTCAATAAAACTTGGCACATATATGTAATTATTTAGCAGTAAAAATTTAGTAGCAGTAGAGCTCTGCCACCAAGCAGAAATGTGAGCATTACAACACACCCTCTGTGTTTCATATAGTCGTGAAGTCTTATTTAATTAATAATAGATAAATTTAGAATGTTCTGTTTATCGCAATATTTTTTTTTACAAGAATTATTTATTACTAATTATACTGCTGCAATATGGTCGCTTCTTTTTTGGAAAACTAAGTAAACATCTCGAAGTTTATATAAGCTTCTTGAAATTGACGTAATGCGTCTCTTTTCATCTTTTGCGCATGTAATGTGTAGAAAAATGACAATTAGCTTTTTGATTATGTTGTTTGCTTTTGTAATTTATATTTACGATTAATTTATATATAAATTAAAAACTATACAACTGTACAAAATAACACTTTTAAATGAGAACTATGATAACACATTATATTTGTTTAGTGAAAATATGATACAAAATCCTGTTTTGACACTTTACTGCAGTAATTTTTACAAGTTATTATTATATGGTACTGCATGATTGACACCAGCGCTATCAGTCGAACAAACGAAGACTGTTGCGCGATTGACGCTCTGTATGCGATTTTAACGCCCCTTTTTAGCGCGAACCCGACGTCCATTTGTTAGTAGGTCAATGAAACTAGTGGAGTAAATTTAAAGATTTCATTGTTACAAATTAAGTACTTTGGCGACAGCGGTTCTGATAGTAATCGATCTTAAGGCATTTGCGATTGTGTTTTTTCTTCCGTGCTCACATACCTGGTGGCAGAAATAGGCAGTACTACCTTGAACGAACTCTATCACAAGTAACTCTACTGCCACTAAATTAGTATCAAAAATATACTTACAACAATATTATATTTGACCGGGCAGTTAAGGGGCAGCCGTAACGTGCAAATATAGGCAGTTCTATCTCCCAGTTTCAATTTCTCCATCCACCATTGAGGTGCGAGACGGGTGAAAGTATCGGAGGGTAGTTTACCGCAATACCTAGAGACAAATACCATATTAATTGGATAGGCTAGCATAAGTCCTAGTTTCACGAGGTAAGCCTCGTGAAAGTACCTTGCATATCTAGCATTGAGTTTCTTATAGTGTCACAGTTTTTATACAGGGTGATAAAAAAACCACTGACCATTTTAAAGGAGCATACTGTATAATGGAAATAAAAAATACATATTCGGGTTTTTTTCAAATACTTAATAAATTAAAAAAATTATGACATGTTATAGTTTTCCGAGAAATTGTGAACAGAACAAGCAACAAGAACGGTGTAGGGCACGCGCGCGAGTTCATGTATTTGACAGACAACAAAGTATAAACTAACGCGCGATGCGTTAGCGCAGACGTCTAGACAACTCGGCGCCGATCGCTCAATTGTATTTACTACTTTGAGGTAACCACGCATTAGAAATTATTGGGAAATATTAACATTAAAAAAAGAGGATTTTGTTTGTTTTATTTCACTAACGTGTTCTATTACTGAATATTATGCACAGGAAAAAAAAATGGAATCACTGGCCATTTTTGTCTTTTTATCACCCTGTATTTGGCTCACAACAATGTCTACACTTTTTGAACTACGAACATGATTTTATACGAGTGTTATTAGTATTGAATGAGTTTTTATGGATTTTTTTAATAGCACTCGCGTACACTGGTTGTCTTAAGTTACGACAGTTTTTTGAGGTACCGGGAGCAGGGAGAGAAGGATAGTGTTGCCAGAAGTTAAAAAAATGCGTTTGAGTTACGTTTTGTGTGAGACATCGAATGTATAACCAGAAATAGAGACCAAATGTCATTTAATTTGTTCGAAAACTATTCCGCCAAATCATTCCGGTGACAACTGCGCTCTGATTGGCCAGCCCGAATTCGAAACAATTGACGGGTGTCGTCAATTGTATCACTTCAAATCGACCAGTTTAACTTGAGATTTGCTATAATGGACGATAATTGAAAAATATTTAATATTTAATTACCGATGAAATGTGATTCCGTTTGTTTTGACCAGCCTCCTATAGTTAGAGATATTATCTTCATTACAATAAATACAGAATATTTTTAGAATATACGGAGACACAGGTTTGTTGTTGGCGCTGTACTATTTCAGCTTTCTAATTTGTGATTTAAAATAAAAATAAAGGAAGTGAAACAATGCACAATGTCGTAGCCATTATTTTTTAAACATCAAGCCATTTATACATCCCATTGTCGGACACGGGTCTTCCCTTAGGCGAGGGAGGGGACTACACACGTGTCCCGAGGGTTGTGAACATTCTTCGACGTGTTTCGTGATGTTTTAACTCACCAAAAAGGTAATAGTAAATTTCATAGAATTTTAATGAAGTGTCAGCTTCTTTGTTAATGACTAAATTTCAATACTTTGTGAAAACTTTGTCCCGGGCTTGGAGAACTTACAGGTTAGGGACATGTGCGACCCAGCACTGGCTGAGAACAAGCGTTAAGAATATGTTCTCCATATCTATATATATTTAATAATATCAAGTGACGGGACGAACAAGTCGTGCTCCTGATGGTAAGCTACACGCCTGTCCATAACAGTTTCAGTGTCACTCAGCTTTTTAAATCGCAAAGATCAGAGGTGCACTGCCACTGCGCCCGTCACCCTGAGACACAAAGTTGACAAGTCCCATGTGCCTGTAATTTCACCAGCACCCTTACCCTTCAAAATCAGAACACAGTAATACTGACGTTACTGCTTGGCGGCAGAAATAGGTAAGGTGTCAGTACTTCCCTGGACGAACTCTTTCACAAGGACGTTTTTCAAAAAACCAACGTTTCGGGCCCTTTATAGGTCCAATGGTCACGAGAGAGTAAAGTTGTCAACTAGTCATGTCTAACATATTATTAATGCAAATATGAACCCCTCTCAATTGTGAAGGATCTTTTTTTCCGTACGTTACAGTCATTCTTTGTTATTATCGTTTAAAAAACTTACCTATTTATAAGAGCTATAGCTGAATTCAAGTCCACACTAGCTATACTATCTTCGTTTTTGTTTTTCTTAAAATCATTACTTCTATTTTCATTAAAATTTGTTATTTTCACTATCATACACGAACATTCGATATCGGCACTATTTCGCTTATTATTGCACTTATTACAAAATAGATTGTCGCTAATTTCATTAATCACGTCTGTTGAATCATTAATTCTATTTTCAATTGTTTCTGTCCCTTTGCTTGGAATGTCTCCGTTGATTTTATTTTTGGAATCGTTATCACAGTTTTCATTATTTTGTTTTCCTCTATTTTCATTATTTGGTTTATTATTACTTTCATTATCTAAGGGAGTGTAAGGCTTAATGAAGGAGGTGAAACAGTCTGCGTGATCTTCTTCCGCTTGAGGAGGTTCCTCTTGAATACCACAACCACATTTTCTTGTAATTATCTGTAGAGGAAGGGATATTTATTAAGTGTTGTATGAAACCACATACTATCGTAACTCAAAAATGAGGGAATTGAGAAGACACGATTTGAATGACCAAAAAATTACTGAATAGAACCAATAAGCTTATTTTTTTTTATTTTCGAAACGTGTTTTTCATTCAATTTCATCATTTCGTTACACAATTACTTTTTTAGATAATGAAAATAGATTAATTAGAAACGATTTTCTAAAACAAATTTCATAGAAAACATTAACAGTATACTGGTCGGTTCAGTTCTACACTGTATATTAGAACAGGACGCGAATTCCCGAGAAGTGAATGACCTGGTCGAGCTCCCTGTAGGTGGCGACGTTGTGCAGCAGCACGGCGGTGCTGGGCGGCGCCGCGTTCGACAGCAGTGCGCAGGCGGCGCGAGCGGCACGCGCGCGTGAACGGCACAGCCCGTACGAGCGGTAGCTGGGGACCACGCCATACGACAGAATTTCAGTACGACAAATTGTCGGTTTTGTACTTAACACCTTGAGCTTGAGTCGAACTTGTTCTGTCTACGAGTCATGCCACATACAATAATAATAATGATAACTTTATTCACTCGCACAAAGGCAATCATTATTATTAAAAAAAAAACATTTAGGAACCTTTGTGAGAGTGTGTGTTCGTACTAGAATTCCCTGTATGACGGATCATCAGGCCCTTGCTTCCACAGTTGGATTTAATAAAAAAAAAAAAAAGATGAACACTGTGAGTTAAATATAGTAAATTAAAAATAAAACGGTGCGTGTATGTGTTTTTATTGTACGTATTTTTATTGTATGTATTATAAGAATGTTGAAAATTGTTAAAAAAAGAAAATTGTTTGTTTTGACGATGTTTGGAAATGTAAAAATTAAACACTAAATTAAGTATAAGTTAAAAATGTTAAATATGTATTTATAGCTATAGAAGAGCGGTGCCTCCTGGCACAGGCTTGATAAGCTTAATAGGAGGTACCATCCACTGTTAATGTAAAGTTAATTGTATTACTGAAATAAACATTTTACTTATTTATTATTTTATTTTATTGAAAACCAACAGCGTTTACAATATCATAAATATTCAAAGTAATCCTTAATATAGTACAGCCAATAACGGGTTATCTAGAATAAAATTTTGTATATAATACAACACTACAAAAGCATCAGCCTGTATTTAATGCTTCTGATCTACCCCAATAATCTGGTTTGTGTGTGTGTATGTGTGTGTGAGAGAGAATAATAATGTGTCTGTGTGTATATAATTCTACAAATTATTATAAAGTGTATTATGAACCTACTTAAATATGATGTTATTTTATTTCAATATGTATAACTTTGAATTCAAATTTAAACCATTAATACTGTGATGGATAATCTAGATACATAATATAAATAACAATCGATATATTCAAAATAAGTAAGTAAATATAGGATTGTTCACTGATATTGCTCAAGAGAACTCATGATACGTTTTTAAATATTGCCTTAGTTTGACAGATTATATACATAAAATTTATGGACCAAACAGACATAGAAAGAGAGCGGAGGGCGCTGGCGGTTAGATGTAACAATTTGACCCCTCCTACGTAAAGTATCGTATGTCGAAATTGCCAAGTTTACAGGGGAGCGTTTTAAAGTTCTGAATACACTGAAACGTAGAAAACTTTCTCCGACCCGGTCATGTTGACCTGTGGCTCAGTTGGTAAGAGCAATGCTACGGTGCAGCATTGTCGTGGCTTGAAGTTCCACAGGGTCGAAGGATATTTTCTATGTGTTCGGGCTTTGTATTAATAGTTATTTCACAAAAAAAATCTCAATAATACATTTGTTAACGCTGCTGCGGTAGAGTACGGCGGCGGAACTAGTTCCTAAGGAGTGAGGGCACGCCAGCACTCCGTAACCGTCCACCACGCCGTTCTTACTTATTGTATTTAACACAATTTTAATGTACCAAAAACTACGACTAACGAGAAGTCAACATTACAAAGTATATACAAGAAGCAGGAGTTTTACTTGAAGACGTTAGAAACCCTCAGCTGAACTGTTCATCAATAACAGCCAGGACAACATTTGACTACAAATTTGATATTAAAGGGGAATTAATTGATATTCACGACCATTTATACAGGGTGATTGGTAACTCGATACATTCCTTTTAAGGGGTGAAAGTAGACATAATTTGAAGTAAATTAAGTTAAGTTATACCCTGTCCGAAAATTAGTAGTTTCGAAGTGTAACAATACAAAGAAGTAATTTAAGTAATTTGTACACATCGTTCCATATAATTTTTTTACAAGGCACTCCTTTTAATAAATAAATTGTTGTTTCTTTTTCGGTAGTTCTCATCATTTTTGAACCACTATGGCAAATTTAACAGTTATTTCGTACTCTATTGCTATTAAACAATAACTTTAATTCAATAACTACTAGATAAAATGAAAACAAACCAGAAACGGACAGAAATAAAATTCCAAAAAAATAACAAAGCTGAGAATCGGGATTTTTTTTTTAAAACTTTAAATCTTCAATATCTTCGAAACTACTAATTTTCGGACAGGGTATAACTTGACTTAATTTGCTTCAAATTAGGTCTACTTTCACCCCTTAAAGGAATGTATCGAGTTACCAATCACCCTGTATAATGACGATCTTTTACAGTTACGATTTATAAGTACGGAGATTATCAATTCTCTAGAGTCACTGGTCCATGCTTCTGGTAAAAAAAAATACTTACGAAGCAGGTACATCCCAACGAATAACAAGATTACATCTAGGCAGATCAATGCCTTCTTCCAGAGCAGACGTTGCCAGCAGAAGGTTGCACTCATGCATCCGGAACCTGCACAGGACTTACAGCGTTATATTGAATGCTTTAAAATCTATAATAAATAATATTACTTCCTAAAATGACGAAAGCGCCTAAAAAATGTTTTAGTATTGCACGACTGTTTTGAGCATTCCGGTTCCGGGCCGACCTATAGGTTTATATAAATTGCATGCTATATATATATTATTAGGTAACAATTTGAATTTAATTAATTTGGTTTTTATATTTTTGATGTTAATTTATGTATGTTACTGATATTAATTTTTTATAACTTAAATTTATAATATTGAAAAGCTTTTTAATTTATATTTTATATGTTTTATTTTGATTTATATAATTGATTAATTTAACTTTGTAAACTAGCGTAGGTAAAGTCTAACACTAGTTTTTTAAGTACTTCTACTAACACATATTATGGATTGAATGTCTGAAATAAATAAATTAAATTAAAAAAAAAATAATTAAATAGTGCATTGTGTACTAAAGGCAATAACGAGACTCTATTAGAAGCCCGAAGTCGAAGACTGAGGGCGTTCGGAGTAGATGTTCATAATTCCCGTACCGCTCGTGAAACATAGAATGTTTTTCATCACAATTACGAGTAAATAGTATGATAGCATGCAGGCTAACTAGACTACAATGCCCCATATAAAACCCTCGGGGCTTTTTTCGTCTTATTACAGCCATTAGTCGTGTAATGAGAAGGAAAAAGGTCCGAGGGTTTTATTTAGGGCATTATAGTCGAATTAGCCTGCATGGCTATCATACTACTAACGTGCAACTGTGATATAAAACAAAATATAATAACATAACGCACACACTCAACATAGCCCCGCACTAGGGAAACCCTGTGTCGCAGGTGCCATGGACACACACACACAGAGAAACACAAATTACACCCAAACTGAAGAGAGAAATAAATGTAGGCCATACAAATATTTCTCCAGGCCCGGGAATCGAACGGAGACAGTTAATTGTAATCTTAGTTAATAAGTTGAATGACATATGTATATGTATTTTTGCATGCCGACTATGGTAGAATAAGTTATATTTGTATAAAATAATATCACAACGCACCTTATTCCGAGAAATAAATAAATTGATTGATTGATCAATAATTGTCAAACCAAAAGACCGTATCGTAACTATGTCCTGTTTTAAATTGGATTTTAAATCTTAAACTTAATTAAAACCAAAATAGATGTTATTAACACGACGTAACTATTTGGAAACAGTCGTTAAAACCTAAAACATGCTCCCCTGAGAATTTTTTCGAAATGGCGCTGTCGTCCTTTCTAAAAAACACCGACGAAATATAATCTTTATTTGCCACATGCAAAATGGCGCTTGGACGTCGAGTTGCGGACACCAGCACACTATACCATACCATAATCTTTATTTCATATTTCGCCCCCTCCTACGAAAGTATCGTATCGTCGCCTTACTTTCTCAAACTCGTATCTTAAAGCACAAAATTACTGAAATGCAAAAAATGGATTGTATATACAAATTTTGCAGGCTAATTTCACATCACATTTCGACCCCTCCCACGTAAAGTATCGTATGTCGAAATTGCCAAGTTTACAGTGGAGCCTTTTAAAGTTCTGAATTCACTGAAATAAGCATAATACGTGACTTTAGCGTTTCTCAGTTATATGCGGCAAAGGTCGTTACTCACATAGCGTATTATAAAATTCTAGATATCGGTAAGATGATCTATTAGATTGATCACTCTATGTGAGCAGCGACCTTTGCCGAATGAAACGGAAAACTTTATAACACTTCCCTGTAAACTTGGCAATTTCGACATACGATACCTTACGTAGGAGGAGTCGATTTATCCTAATTAACACCTTTGATAAGAAATTTAAAATAAATAGAAAGTTTTGGCATCTCTTAAATAATCACTCTTCATAAGATACCAGTTTGAGAAAGTAAGGCATCGGTATGTCGAAATTGCCAAGTTTACAGGGGAGCGTTTTAAAGTTTTGAATTCGCTGAAATGTGCATAACACGTGACCTTAGCATTTCTAAGAATAAAACTGAGAAATGCTAAATTCACATGCTCATTTCAGTGAATTCAGATTCAGGACTTCAAAACGCTCCCCTGTAAACTTGGCAATTTCGACATACGATTCTTTACGTAGGAGTTATCGACTTATGTCATTGAAATCAAATTGGTTCAACACTACTACTATTAGGAAATGAAACTATTTTTCCGGATTTAAATCGCGTATATTTGTTTTTTCAAACAAACCGACGTTTCGGGCCCTTTACAGGTCCCATGGTCACGGTTGACTGAGGTGGTACAGTCTTCAACCAGTTATGTCTAATATTAATTCAAACCACCCTATTTCTTCACTACAGTTACAATAGTTATTAATTAAATACCTTATTTTAATTTTACAATGAAAACATTCCAATTTACGCTACATTAAGTTTTACAAATTATTTTATTGAATGAATTTTTATTAAGTTTAATATATTATTAATTATTAATAGAAATTAGAATAAACTAAAACATATTAATTAGTACTGCAGTCCTATGTCTGTTTGGGATTTTTCATTAGAGGAAATACTAGATCCCAAACTGGTGGTACGGAGATACCATCTTCCCTGTTGAAATTAGGATGTTTTTTAATTTTAATTTCAGCCTCTCGCAGCATCCTGAGTAGATAACGGACTTCTTTTGCAAGGACCTGGGGTTTGTCAAACTTCATTGAATGTGTAGGTTTATCCATGACATGCTCGCAGACAGCAGACGACGGTGTTTGACATCAGCTATATGTTCTTTGACGCGGGTACAAATACTTCGCTTTGTTTGTCCAATATAAGAGAAATTTAAATCCGGAAAAATAGTTTCATTTCCTATGTGTAACAATCGCGAAAACCTAAGAACTCGATACTACTACTGTTAATTTGTAAAACAGATTTCCTTGGGAAGAATGAGTAAGAAACTCTAGGGCTTGCTCTCTTTTAACTGCCTCCGTGGTCGAATGGTTGCTGGTCTACCAATACGTAATAGTAATAAATTTATTTATTTATGAAAACACAGGACATGTAGAAGATGACTCGTACATAACTCGTTTATAACAAAAACCGACCTCAAAAGGGTTATGGAATTACATATATTATCAAGTTTTATTGAAATCGGTTACCGGTATTCATCCCCTAGTTTGCTACCCCTAGAGGTGGAATATTTTCTTCAAATTTAAACGGGACCAATACTGAGGTACCCTCTTTCAAACAAAAAAGAACCATCAAAATAGGTTCTCAAATCGCCGTAGTTATGGCGTAATATATATACAAAAAAAATAAAGCCGAATTGAGATTGTTAACGTTGCCGGGACTTTATATTTATGAGTGTTCAATTTTTATCAGAAAAAACTATGAAAAGTTTAAGAACGTTGCACGCGCACGTAATTGTGATAAGTTGTGTACAGAATCACACAGAACTATGCTATTTAGTAAAGCAGCGTATAGGAGGTTAGATTGATCAATAATTTTAATGAATATAAAAAATACAACTATTAGGTTTTTTAATAAATACTACTTTTTACTCATTGACAGAATTCTTTGACAATAATTATTGACATCTTATTGACGTATTATTCAAGAATTTATTATAACTACCGCTACACATGTCTCTCAACCCTGACATTGGCAAAATCGTCGCGCAAAACGACGGAGCCATAGACACAAAAGTTGAAGTTGAAGTTTATTTTTATACCTTTTGTAATTTGACTTAGACGTAATAAATTGTTAAGTTTTCAATGATTGATTGTAGTACTCTTAATAAATAGTTGAATGACATATATCACACTGCTATTACAATGGTATTGTAACTCAAAATATGTGAAATTTAATATTATATCATTACTGAACGTAAAATTTGATTCTCTACACGTCACAAAAAGCCGTCGTTAGAACAATGTAAGAAGCAATCAAAAGATATCTACTTAATTCAAAATGAGACACATTTTATGTGGGCTAGTCTTGGCCAAAATAAACCTAATTCAAAAACATGAAATTATTTTTTCATTTTATTGTTAAATACATTTGAGAAATTGTTTAAGTGTCTACAATAAACTATAACATACAAATTTTAATGATTTTTTTGCGGGAAGTGAGTAATTCGTTTTTCATCGATTCTGAGAAATTCCTCTACTTGAGTTAATATACTATTGTATTAACAGTGCGATATGTATGTTTGCAAGCCGATAATGGTAGAATACGTTGGATTTATTTAAAATAAGATCTAATCATAATGTACCTTATTCTGACAAATAAATAAATTGATTGAGAGCCTCCTACCTTTTTTGAAGTCGGTTAAAAATCTAGTAAATAATAAATATAGTGTTTACTTGTGAGAAAATTTTACTGAATTTACAGATACACTAAGATCTTTTAACTTACTTTTTAAGCACATCCTCCTGCTTCTTACCCTGCCTCTGGCATTCCCGTGGCTCGTTGGCGGGGTCAGCAGGACGTTCCACGGCGCAGTATTGAGCGCACAGGAACCACAGTTTGCTGCAGCACCGTGACATGTCCTGATAATTCACGGAATAGAATAGAATAGAATCGTTTATTTCACGTTATCAATGTCACAATATTGTAATTGGAAATACAATGTCAAGGGATAACTATGATCGTCAGTAATAAAATAATAATAATAATAATGAATATAAAATAAAGTAGTATAACTACTGCTTGTCGAATAAAATAAAATTAAAATTGTTTCAAAAGAAACTCATCGACACTGTACAATTCAATATCCAATAAAAGGTTTTTTAGTCGGGTACAAAACGTTTCATCGTTTCTAACACGTTTCAGGTCTGTGGGTACATGTTCGTAGAATCGGGGACCTATTACCCGCGGATTTCTAGTTGCAAGTTCGGTACGGTGGGCAACGGATTTTAGTGTTCCCGCGCTTCGTAACGCTCGGCCTCCGCCCGTACGTCTTTCATAAGTAGTCGAGTTTTGACGCGCATAAACTATTATATCATAAATATATTGTGAGTACATGGTCATTATATTGTATATAATAATTATGCTGATGAAGTACACACACATATATATATTTATGTATTTTATATATATAATACATAAACACTCCTCTAATAATAATGTGATATATTAGTAATATGTAAATGGAAGTAAATTTATTTGCTACTCCGCGAAGCCAGTGAAGGTAAAGTCGTCATGTTTACGTCGTCAAGTGATGCTCGGCCGAAAAAATATAATGTTGAGCAATCAACAGTCCCTGAGGATGCTTCGCGGAGAGGCGTAATACGTGTCGGGTATATTTTTGGTGGTGGTGTCTGTGACTGTAGTGTTATTGTCTGTGATTGTGTTATTTACTTTATAAATTTTATGCGGAGAATGGATGGAAAAATTAACTGTATGAAAAAATATACAACATAAACGCAGATTTTTTTTTTTTTTTATACATGACAGGCAAATGACTCCACTCCACCTGATGTTAAGTGGAAAGTGGTATCCAAACGCGAAGGAACCTAGTGCAGCGATGAAATCCTCACTGCACTAGCCACCTCCACCCTGCCTGCCTACAATATGCCTCTTCACGCCTCGTTTGAAGGACCCCATATCATAAGAGGGAGGGAAGACATGTGCCGGAAGGGAGTTCCATTTGTCAACCGTGCGGCAGAGAAAAGAGTTATTTTGCAAATCAATTTACTTCCATTTTCATTAACATGGACTTCCACAAAGTAACGCCTGTATCTATTAATGCGTAAAGGGTTTCGCATCAGGGGCGGCTAGATTATGACAGTTCATAGCGGCCATGCTGTTGAGGCTACTGTAGCCAAATCTGTTGTTTATTTTTCAGTCACTAAGACACGTGCAAATGATAAAAAAATATTATCAAAATGGGTGTTCTATTGTGGCAACGATGCGCGCGTAAGACTGCCTCGGGCTCTCCTGAACAACTTACCACAATCAACATAAACATAATCTTTGCCATCAACGCCTCCTTCATAAAGACAATTCCGCACAACGCGTCTGGATTCTGTTGCAATTGTTGCGCCCTTGCTGCGTTACTCCTTTGCACCCTCCCTCTACCCCTAGTACGGTGGCCAGAACGACGAGAAAATATTCCCTTATCATTAACTCTGTTTTCATTATCATTAATCTTATGTTCTGAATCATTAATTGTATTTTCGTTAATCTTATTTTGTGAATTATCAATCATGTTGTTAATTATTTTGTTTCCAATTTCATTCGCATTATCGTTGCATATTTTATATTTATTTTCAATATTGTCGTTATTTTTATTGCATTCCTGATTTAAATTAATTTCTTTTAAATTTGATTCAATAATATGAACTCTGTCTTCAATTCTGTTGCTTAACGATATGAAATCGCATTTTTCTATAGCTTCTAACATTTTATTCGTTTTTGATTTTGTATCTTCTGTACAGGTGTCCTCTTTGGACTGTTTAATATTACTTATATTTTCATTAGCACTAGTATCTATTCCATCATTAATAGAATTTTCGTTAATCTTGGTTTTCGGTGCATGATTAGCCTGGCTATTTTCATTAATGTTTACACTGTTTTCATCAATAATTCTATTATTTTCATTAGTAGCTGCACTGTTTTCATTTGTGTCTCGAGTACTATCATTACAAACTTTAGTATCACTCGTCGCTTTATTATTGTCTTTGTTTGTGTTTTTTAAACTCTGATCGGGTGGTTGGAACTGTTCTAATATTTCGGCGAAACGCAATACCTTTGGTGTACTAAATATTCTAATTTTATCCCAATCAGACTCGTATTTTGAGAATACTAAGTCGGCGTAACAACGTATTTTCACAAACACCGACGTGCAAACGCACAATAGAAGAAAGTGACGCTCGTATGGTACTTTAATTTTCAGTTTTTCGAGTTTTGTCAGTAAAGAGAAAGCTGCTTTATCGGCTCCATAGGGACCTGAAACAAATTAACGTTACCTTTCATATGTTATTTATTTTAAAGGCAATCAAACCAAAACACAAATTTACAGGATACACCAGGACATTTTGCTGAATACAAAATTGAAAATATTATATAGTAACGGTTGTATTTAAATGAATAGAGTTGCAATTAAATTAACATCGACATTGAAAGAAATCGGAATTAAATATAATGCATTTTGTAGCTACAGAGCTCCTTGTGAAAAAGTTCATAAACCGCCGAGCAATGTTAGCATTACTGCTTTCCGGTTTGGATACAAGAATACAAGATATTTATTCGCTGTAAAATGTAGTTTACAATGGTGTTATAGTACATTATTATTAGATCGTACATTTCACCAAAACTTGGCATGCGAATATTTTACACAATTCTTATTTCAATCACGCACAGTGGTTAAATTTTACATTTTATGTTATCTATTAAAAAATCATTTATATTGTAGTAGCATTGTGTAACTAACAAATTATGTAATTTTATTTTAAATTGCCTACAATTTAGTTCTTTAACTGCATCTGGTATTTTATTAAATAATTTAGGTGCCAATATAAACATCGTTCTATTGTAAAATTCCAAGGTGGGGCGTTGTTTTGGCCGTATTTCTATTTTGTTCCTTGTTTTCCTGGGATGTCTGGTTTTCACTAGATTAAAGTTGCCTGGATTTTGTTTTATATAAACGCAGGCCTCGTAAATATACATAGATGGTAGGGTTAAAATCTTTAGTTTTCTAAAATAGGGTACACAGCCTTCTCGCTGGCCCACACCAAACATGGCCCTGACACATTTCTTCTGGGTTTTAAACAGTGGTGTAATATGTGTTGCAGCAGTGTTCCCCCCAAGCAGCAGACCATATCGCAAACTAGAGGCTACATAGGCGTGATAAGCATAAAGAGCAGTTTTTTGTGACGTTATTCTCGTCAGATTTTTCAGGACATATACGTATTTACTAAGTTTAGTATTTAACTTATTTATATCTGACTTCCAGCTCAAGTGAAGTTGGAAGGGTAAGGGTGCTGGTGAAATTACAGGCACATGGGACTTGTCAGCTTATGTCTCAGAGTGATGGCCGCAGAGGCAGTGTACCTCAGATCTTTGCGATTTAAAGTTATGAGTGGCACTGCAACTGTTACGGATAGACGAGTCGTTTACCATCAAGCACACGACTTGTTAGTCCTATCACATAGTATCATAAAAAAAATATCTTGACACAAAGGAATATTCAAAAAATTTGAATTGTTCAGCATTTCATTCTTATTTCATAATCATATTCCCATAATCGAGTATATTTGTTTTTTCAAGCAAACCAACGTTTCGGGTCACGATTGACTGAGATGGTATAGCATAAACCAGTTACGTCTATACCTTAGACTGGAAACCAAAGGACATGTTATGTTGACATACATAAATCCGACGTTATATGTATATGATGCATTTCGACATAAAAATGTTAATGTCTTTGTTTAACTACTTCGTGCCGTCGTAAGCCAAAAGAGATAGCATTAAATTGGTTTGTGCCAAACATGGGAATCGAAAATACGTAAGGCTAAATGCCAACTGTGTTCATTTCGTAGTAAATGAGCTACTTGATACGATTGTCAAAGGGAAGTACATCAAATGTCAAAACAAATGTATTTCCAAGTGTTTTATTGAATTATTTTTATGGATAGTAATAAAATAGACAAAAACATTGACAGTGAGAACAATTAGGTATTAATAAAAATGCGTCGCATTAAAGGATGTGGCATTAGCAAAAGCGAAAATCAACCGAATGTAACATTGCACAGGCATGGCTATTTTTCTGTCAATAAAACACACAATAGCCCAAACAAAAAAAAAAGTGCATAGAAAGAGGGTTTCTTCCCTTAGACAGAGAGTGCTAGATAGTACTAATAACATTATAGCTGCTATAGCTCGTAGTTGCGACTCGTCCATGCTGCGATATTGGATTCCCATTATTAATAATTAAGTATACCTATTTATTGTATGTAAGAAGTTATGTGTAATATTTAATTCTAATTTAACATTATTGTAATTCTATGGATTTGTTGACTGAAATAAATGCTTACTATTATTATTAAAAGCGAGCCTTATAAAAATAGTTTATTAAATAAGTAAATTAGTGCACGTCGTTACAAGGTTATATTGTGCAGATTTTTATGAACTGTCAAAGTGATCATCCTAGATTATTTTTAATGTAATATTAGTTGGTTTACTTAAAAAAAATTTTGAAATCGCGATTTATACAGCCCACTGCTGGGCACGGATCTGTAAAAAATTTATTTCTACTTGGAAAATTTATTTATATAAAACAATGAACTTACCAAGTTGATCCAAAACGTAAAGGAATTGACCGAATATATATTTCGGGTCAATTGTTGGGTCTGGTATATTTTTGAATTCATCATACATGTCTTCACCGTATATTTCGGTTGGATCATACCTGTAACATATTCGTTACTTGAACAAGCGATCGACATTATCACAGAACAATAAATACAGAAGAAGGTTTGTTTGAAAAAACAAATATACGCGATTTAAATCCGGAAAAATAGTCTCACTTCCTACAGTAGAAGTGGTTAGTTAGCATCACACGCGTGCCAACTGTCGACGGCACAGTTGTCGAACTATTTTAATTTTTTTAAATAAAGTCATAAGTGTCGAGGCACTAGGCCGAGGTCCAGAGGAGGGCGAAGCGTCTGCACGCCACCGTACGAAGGTAGTATAAGGCTCTATAAGGCATTCTTCCCGATGTAGTGGAAATGAGATACTTATAGCCTTGTTGTATCTCGAGTCTCACTGCAAGTTTCCTTTTTTTTAAATATTCCAAAGAGAATCATTTAGGGAAAAAAAAGCCAGACAATCAAACCAAATTTCTGATCTCAAATGAAGGAATTTCCTATAATGAATACCTGAATAACGATAACTCTAAGGGCAATACTCAGACAAAACTTTTTAGTAGCAGTAGAGCTCCTTGTGAAAGAGTTCGTCCAGGGTAGTACTGCCACCAAGCAGTAATGTCAGCATTACTGTGTTCTGGTTTTGAAGGGGCCATGGGACTTGTCAACATACGTATCAGGGTGACAGGCAGTACCCCTCGGATCTTTGCAAATTAAAACTCTGAGTGGCACTGTAACTGTCATGGACAGGGGTGTAGTTTACCATCAGGCCTGACCCCACTGTAAGTACTCTTAATGGTCACACGTTACCGGTGGTCTCGTAGAAACGTCAAGGCATCGCTCGCCGTTTTTCGCATGTATTCGAACAGATGGGCACAGTCTTCGTCTTGTTGTTCAACTGTCAACGGCTTACGGTACTCGATTATCATCTCCTTAGGTTTTGATATTGTTGCCGAGAGGCTGAAAAAGATTGTATACAGGTTGATATTTTTTATATCATGGGGTGAGAACTGCGGAGTTCGGTAATCCAAAAGTCCGCTTAATAAAAACAATAATAGTTACGACTATATATTGTCCCACTGCTCCCTCTCACTGTAAGAGGGCTTGGGGTACTCCCTCTCATTGTGAGAGGGCTTGGGATACAGTTCCCACTCAGGCCGGATTGAGAGCTTCACATACATCGTTAAATTGCTTTGCAGATGTGTGCAGACATTTGAAAAACGTGCCAAATGGCTTGTCTATTCATTTCAATTATCAATGAAATAGTTTTTATTTTTTATTATCTTTTCATATAATAACAATTGAATAATTTAGTAGGCACTTTTTAGTATTAACTTACTATAGAATATCGTCAGAAAAATCTTGTTGAAATTATGTCGTGTGCAGTGCGACATAAGGGCGCGTTCATATTATGTCGTGACGACAGATAGTCGTGCAGTTTTAAGTGTCGTGTCTTGTATATTTAAATAAAGTTGTTCACATACAGTACAACACGATTAATAGTCGTTCACGATTTTTTTGACGTTACGACGACAGACTATAAAGACAATAGGAGCGCTAGAAATTATCGACACGTTTTATTTATCGTTGTCTGCACGTGTTCTGCTCCCAGCTCTTCCCTCTCGTTCTCGGCGCAGTCGGCTGTGCGTCAAACGATTCTGTCGTGGAAGTTTATTTCATCGTTGAACGACAGTCGTGTCCAGCTGTTCCCACTAGATTGTGATAACAATTAGCCGCTTTGTCGTTTGCACGACAGAATCATTTGAAGCTACGATTATATGTCGTCAAATTTGTATAATGGCGTTTTATTCATGAACTGACGTTCTCGCTCTTTCCAGTGACACAGTCTGTCGTCGTAACGTCAAAAAAGTCGTAAACGACAGTTAATCGTGTTGTTCAATGGATGAACAACTTCATTTAAATATACAAACCACGACACTTTAAACTGCACGACTATCTCTCGTCACGACAAATAGGAACGCGCCCTTAAAAAGAGATATTCACAAGTCCATTTATTTAACTTAAGCATAGATGCCACTAACCGTTTCCCACCATCAATATCTTCAGCCAAATCCATCTGGCAGCACAACTCTTGCTCCAGCTGTTCAATCTTCCACTCCAGCTTTTCATACATATCGAAATCATCGTAGTTCTCGTATTCGCCAATTTTTTCAACATCTTCGTCTATTTCTTCGTCTCTTGTGGTATCCGTGTCATCTTGAGGATTTGCGTCTGTCGAAAACACAGAACATAAATGCAGTAGACGTACGTGTGCTAACAGTACGCGGAGTTTCACATACTTGAGCTCAGCCCGCCATTTTCGCTTTGTAGTTTATGGTTGTGTCAATTATCTCGCGCAAAACCTCGAAAATCGTAGAACAATTCCTGATTTTGCTACTTTGGGGTGCAAAAATTATAGTCGCACTTGTAGTATTATCGATGGTGGACCACCACAATTTAATTTTAGTTACATTTCAATTTTCTGTTTATCGTTAATAATTTTTTTGTTACAAGAAACGAAAACAAACCTTACAGCGCTGCAATATGGTCGTTTCTTTTTTAGAGAACTACGTAAACATCTCGCATTGGCCGTCGTTCAACTATTGACCGCTAGATGGCAGCACATTGATTGAAAGAAAGATGGTGACATCCCATGTATCTTGTGACCCAGTGTTTTTGACGACATGCATTAAAGAGACCTATCAATACTTGTGATTTACATTTGATATTATCAAAGCATCATAAAAGCTAATTGAGTACAGCCTGTAGAAGCCGGGGTTATAAAGTTGATATAGTTATGTTTATAACATTGTTCCGTATTCCGCTCATAATGTTTGTTCGCAGTAGCAGAAAACAACAAGTTTTCAGTTTGTTCCCAAAAATAATAAAGAACTTGCTGAATATTCCCAAATCTACCAAACTTTGTCACATTTAATACAACGTTAATATGTTCTGCCGCAATGAAATTGAATAAAAATTAAATTTGCCCAAATGGCAGAAATCTGCGACAAATTGTCACTTCACTTTTTTATTTTTATGGCTCCATCAATATGAGAACTGATGATTTTGCCAATGTCACAGTTGAAAGAAAAAAAACGAAACAAAAAAAAAATTTCGCTAAGCTCTAATAGGACATTTTGTCATTTTGTTTTCAATCTCAATGTGACAAATGCAAATACTGTAAGTGCTTTCCCAGAGATCTGCTCGCCATGACCAAACCCCAAATGCTAGCCTCCTGGTCGGTCCTTTGGCAGGAATCACGACAAACTGTTGGTAGACACTATGGTAACCTCCAACCAAATCTACCCACTAAACCCTGGTTTTTTAAACGTCGCGATTTGCCTAAAAACATCACTTCCACTATTATTCGTTTGCGCTTAGGCCATGTTTGCACCCCTGTATTTTTGCATAAAATCAGAGTTCGAGATCACTCTCTGTGCGAGTGCGGCCTAGAAGACGGTACCTTGGAACACATTTTTTTCAATTGTCCTAATATTGCTGTTCCACTTTATAAATAACAATTTTAATTAATAATTGAAACCTCCGCCTACCTCTGCTGTTATTGTTATCCCTAATAAAGGGCTCATATGTGTTGCATTATTTTAAATTTAAGACATGTGTACCATATGAATGCAATAAATATATTGAGTATTAATTATTAATGGGTCAGCTTTCGCCATCCTTCTTTCAATATAAAATAAAAAAGTCGCATCTTGCAATAATAGGAATTGAACTTCTAACGATATGCCAACACGGTAATGTTTGAATTATGTTAGAAAGAATTTGTTACTTCTTTTTAAATTTCAAACTACAACCGATCAATATCAAAATGTTATAGTGTTTCAAAAGAATGTGTGAGTTTTGGCGACATCGGTCCCGATAGTAATCGAGGCCTAAGGCACTCCCATTGCTTTTTCTTACGTGGTTAAAAATATATAGTATAATTATTGGTTTGAAATTTCACAAGGTATACCATGAATTCATTAATCTATAAATCCTATGAAGACTAAGCTTAATTTTTAGTCATTTTCTGTTTTTAATGTAATAATATGCTCCCTGAATTTTATGAAAATACAAGCAATACAAAAACAGAGATGACAAAAAAAATTTCATTGGTGTAATGTTCATTGTAGGTATCGATTTACTTTTGCGAAATTACGGCACTAGTTTGTTACAATTATTAATACAAAGATAGAACTTAAAGAAAAATTCCTTCGATCTGACAGGATACGAACTTGTGTCTGTTTTGCCATTCTAGGGCAACCACTCTACCAGTTGAGCTACAGGTCGAATGAACAGCTCTATATCTTTCTACATTAGTTTTAATTATAGTGACCCTCCATACGGACCCTTAAGGTATACAAAAAGGGCACTATAACCTGTGCCCGCACAGGAACCCTACAAGTTCAGGTTCTGATCCCAGATCAGCCTGTGAACAGAGTTGTCACAGACCGTTGTCAATGACTTCATCCGGTTCTCAAGAGGCTAGTGCATCGGGTTAGCCGCCCCGGGTGCACGTACAGTACCCTCCCTATTTCCCAGAAAGGTTCCGGTGTTGTAGGCACGCTCACTTACCGTTGCGGTTGCCACCGCTAAGCCGTAGACTCTAAAGTCCACTACCAAATCTCCTCTTTGATAGCGGAGCTGTAAGCCACGCTCACTTTCCGATGCCGAAAAACGGCGTCTCTCCAGTTCCCAATAACCTAAGCGAATGGGCGGACCGGAGGACATCTAGTCATCCTCGCCTTTAAGCCCTTGTCTAGACCGCCACTAAGACGCGCTAGCTGCGCGCGGAATGAACGTCCCAGCCATATGCTACCGCGGCAGACGAACGTGTTCATCCCTACAGCTAACCACAAAGCTCAGGGAGTCCATACCCAAGTCCGGGTCCGCCAGAGACACCCGTGAAGGCGTATCACTGGCGGAGGACTTGGCCTGGAAGTCTGCTGTACCCTAGTCTTGCCGGCGAGCCCGTCATCTCTCCGGAATACCCTATCTCTCGAGATTATTCGGTCGAGTGACCAGTCATTAGTGGTTCATGCTTACCTTGGATTTCTGTGCTGTCTTCTTCAGCCAAAACACTTTCACTGTCTATGGTATCGTTTGATTCCAAAGTTCCCATTTCAGAGTCGTCAATTTCTACAATCTTTGGTACATTTGAAACTGCAATTTCTATTATTTTTGGTGCATTAATTTCAATTTCAACTATTTTTGTTATCTCAGCGATTTCTACCGCATTTGATAAACTTTCCGTATCGTTTTCTACCAAATCAGGCGGTTCGATGTTGTCATTGTCATGTTTGGTTGTATTTTCGGCTACCGGAGTTTCTGGTTTGGTAGAATCTTCTTTCTTAATCGAATTGAAAAGAGGATAGGTTAACGCGAGAATTCTTGGGCGGTTATTTTCGTCGCATTGTTTATACATTTTCATTATCTGAAAAAAAAAAACGTAGACATAAGTTGGATCCAAAAATATCTGCTATTGTGTGTACTTTTTAAAATTGCCTCCTGCTTTGGTTTTCAGGACAGTGCTTCCACAGCGAATTCCATTGTTCACAGACTATCTAAGACGCCGACGTGTACCTACTTCGCGTGTCTAATGCTTAGTTGCCGCTGCTGCTCTTCAGAACGCTCGCGGCCGTTATCGCAGTTAAACATCTGTCGAAAACGCGAAAAATGCCTAATTGTGCCATTAGAAGTTGCAAAAACACCACAGCTGTGAGAAGATGAGTAAACAACTACGTTTCCATCCACAGGTAACCAATTTTGTAATCAGTAAACGCATAATTTATTTTAAAATCAATTTAAAAAAAATTTTTTTTAGTTTTCCGGAGCAATGGTTTTTTTTTGAAAACACGTAATAATATAGGACTTAATCGTAATATTTCACGGCTTCTTATAATCAACAAATACTTGAAAAAAACATTATTCTAAAATCGTGCTGCGTCCGCGTCATCGATTTAATTTGCGACGTCACCAGAGGTACAAAATGTGTCACGCTTGGTGTTCATACAGATCGCGGTCCTTGCAGTATCTATTACAAGGTCATCGTATTAATTACTTACATATCGTAAATTCTCATCTTTCCAAACAAGATGGCAGCTGTCCAGTACAAGGACATTGATGGTGACCATGCTTAAGATGTCGTCTTCAAGGATCTGCCTGAGGACTGATGATGTGCAGACTAACACCTGGTACCACGAAAAACAAAGCTTATTACTTGTGGCTAGAGATAGGGAACTCACTGTCAAGAACAAGTCGTGCACCTGGTGCTTAAATCGCAAAAACCAGAGGGGGCACTGCAATTGCGCCCTGAGACATAAGTTGACAAGTCGCATGTGCCTGTAATTTCACCAGCACCCTTACCCTTCAAGACCGGAACACAGTAATGCTGACATTACTGCTTGGCGGCAGAAATAGGTAAGGTGGCAGTACTTCCGTGGACGAACTCTTTCACAAGGATCGCTGCTAAACTACGTAGCCCCTGAAGATTTTTTTACTTGAAGGGAAAATGTGTTTTTTTATTGAAGGGAGAGACTATACATTCGAGTTTAGTCCAGAATCGGATATTAATGTAAAATAAAATTGTACAATTTTAATTATTGAATACAAAGATTGAATATCGAGTTCTTAGGTTTTCGCGATTGTTACACATAGGAAATGAAACTATTTTTCCGGATTACAGTGATAAACCTACACATTCAATGAAGTTTGACAAACCCCAGGTCCTTGCAAAAGAAGTCCGTTATCTGCCCAGGATGCTGCGAGAGGCCATTGAAATTAAAAAACATCCTAATTTCAACAGGGAAGATGGTTTCTCCGTACCACCAGTTTGGGATCCAGTATTTCCTCTAATGAAAAATCCCAAACAGACATAAGACTGCAGTACTAATTAATATGTTTTAGTTTATTCCGTGACCATGGGACCTGTAAAGGGTCCGAAACGTCGGTTTGTTTGAAAAAACAAATATACGCGATTTAAATCCGGAAAAATAGTTTCATTTCCTACAAAGATTGAATATTTAGAAAAAAATCCTTCGATCCGGTCTGTATCAAACCGACTTCTTCTAGCAAACCGTGGCAGGCGCTATGCCTAAGGTTTCATTTAAATATTTTTGTCACACTGTGTTTTATTTTTTTACTGTTTAATTGATTATTTGATTAGGTATTTTATAGCTTTAATGTTTTATGTGTGTACTATAAAATAACCAATACATTAGGCAGGTAAACATACGCACAAGAACATTACCTAATCTATAGTCGAACTGAATCGATTGCGTTATGTTCTTGCATTTATTCTAAACTACATTGTTTTTATTTTACAAAATTCCTTAAAATTCCTTATTCCCGACTTCTAAAAATATACAAAAATATATTGATAACTAGGCATGAACCAAATCGTAAAATTATACTAGCAAAGTCCATGAACGGCTCTTTGTTGATTTTGTAACTATTGGGTTAGCTTTCGCCAGAGTTTCTTTGGCTAGAGTATAGGTCAACACATTCTTTTATTTTTACCTCCTTCTTATCCAACTCAGCGGCCCAATCGAAAACGTCATCGCATTTCACCGCCTGCGTCACCGCTAAGTCCGTGAGGATCTTGAGCTCGTGGGCCACAACTGGCACGCGGGTTGCTCTTGTAACATGGATCGACCGCTGACGGCCTTCGAAAAGGGAGCTGGAAGACAGGCATCATAAAAAATAGTTTAAGATATATTTTTTGTTATTATTAAGCTATTATGTCCCACTGCTGGGCTAAGGTCTCCCCCAAAGTCCTCCCTATCATTGGCGATCGCCCACCACTCCCATCAAGAACGTTCCGCCAACGCCTTCTCTTTTTTTATAACATCAAGTGACGGGACGAACGAGTCGTACGTCTGATGGTAAGCCTCCGCATAATTGCAAAAATCCGAGGGGCACCGCCACTGCGCCCGTCACCCTGAGACATTGATTGACAAGTCCCATGTGCCTGTAATTTCACCAGCACCCTTATCCTTCTAAACCGGCACGCAGTAATGCTAACATTACTGCTTGGCGGCAAAAATAGGTAAGGTGGCAGTACTTAAAAAGTATTTCGGTATTTCTCGGTCGTCCCCACCGTCTCTTTCCATCCTCGGGCCCCTAAGGAGTGTCAATGTTCCCGGCTAACGTGTCCCCCCCATTCCCATTTGAGCCAGGGTGTTTTGCTCCCCACATCAGCAATGTCAGTCATCAAATGTATTAGTATATTGCATACTCGGTCAGTACGTTTAAAGCTCAGAACGCTGCGTTCCATCGCCTTCTGGCAGATCTTGAGTTCAGACTTAGACTAGACTATATCTGTGCACCGTTGGTTAGAATGGGCAGGATGCCCTTTAAGTACCAGACATCTAATAACTTCTTTGGAGGAGGTTCCGGTAGGACCAATTTAGGAAATAAACTTTTCTAAATTGGTTCTGGTCTGGTCCAGTCAGTGCCACGGAGTGAAATCCATTGCTCCGGTACTCATAGAACAGGGTATTCTCTACTTTGAGCCCATGTGGTTGTGGAAAAACAAAACGTTGCTTCGTACGGTTTTTTCTCAGGTTGGTCCAGATGTCATGGTGAATGTTCACTGATCCCACGGCGCCGACTCAACCGGCGAGAGGGAACCCCGGGGGGGTTTTAGTGGGGTAGGCCTTCCAGTGCGGAGGGAGAGTCCCCACATAACCCCTGAGTCTCCCTGGGCTCAGGGGTATCCATAAAGATTTCCCCCCCGTCAAAAATAAAAAATAAAAAATAAAAAAGGTTGGTCCAGATGGTCCATATAATAAACACCTTTTCGATTTATCATTAGGTACCATGGACAACCCTTTATACAGAGCGTGCATGGAGGAGGCAACGGCCGCGCACAAAAGTATATCGCAGTGCTGAGGTCATTCATTGAAGTGTTCAGCAAACTCAGGAGAAAGCCGAAAGTTCCTATTCCTGAAAGTCGATGAGGACTTTTTTGGGTTGATGATCCTAAGAGCGCAGTGGATGTGTTCTCTGAGGGGGATCGCCATCTAGCGAATACTTAGGGAACTATAAAGTGAGCAAAGTTGCATAAGGAATTCTATAGTACAAAATAGGCTAGTAACCAACTGTTACTCACCCTCTAACAGTATAGGCTTGCTCATAAATGAGCCTTGTTGATATAAAGGCAGCATACTCAACGGCAAGCGTGTTACGCGTGCCGCACGCAGCAGCAACTCGGGCTCCGCCTTCTAGGGCCGTAAAGCGACCACTGCTGCCTTCCATGCTGTGGGGTGAAATAGTAATAATAATAATAATAATAAGACATTTATTTCGGACTTGGCTCCATAGTGTTAGTAACAATGTAACTTAAAATTAGTGTTAGTAACAATTGAATTTACTTCTAAACTTTTTGCAAATGTAACTGTAATTTTTGAAAATGTAATGTTTGTTAATAAGCATATTTTTAAAAATTACTTCATCACCTTATTCTAGTCTAGACAATAAACAAAGAAAGTAATATAAAATACTAATAGCATTATTATTAAGGTGACTTCATTCAGCCCCTCATCACTGCGGCCATTAACTGATCTATTGTGATCATCATTAATTACAGTTCTGAGCCAAGGCTGACAGCATTAAAGAACAGAAGGATTTTCCTGACTAGACAGTTTTATATCCTCTGCATTGACCTACTTGGTTCACTTCAGTTTTTATTTTTATGGCTCCATCATTATGAGAAATGATGATTTTGCCAATGTCACGGTTGAAAGAAAAAAAACAGAACAAAAAAAAAATTCTAAGCTAAGCTCTAATAGGACATTAACCGGTGTTGGTAAGCTGGACCACGGGAGTACTCATTTGAGAATGTAAAACAAAAGACAACATTTATAAATATATGTTATTTAAGTGGATAAATTTTTGGATTTATTTAAGGGGAGAACACTAAAGTTAAGAGGTTATTTATGTTAATGGGGCAGGGGAATTTTGGAGAAAGTAAGTAAGACCTACTTGGTTGTAGCTTGTGTCTTATGGAACTTCATATGCTATAGTAGCATAATTGTAGAACAAAATTATTTTATATAGTATTTATGATTTCTTTAAATACATTTAGAGCACCGACCCATTGGACCACTTATAGCAGCAACCATAAGTTACAGGCAAGATTTTTTATACATTTTATATGGCATCGGCGCAAACTGAGTGTTCAAGTGGCCTCAACCGAGACACAAGCTCCGGGAGGAGTCTGCACTTGTTGCTGACGTCTCTCGCCTCCCGTGCACACTCAGCCACAGCCACCCAGCCCGCCAATGGTGCCGCTTTAGTGACTTAGTCTATATATCTAAGGAATTTTATGAATGTTTACTGGGCAAAAATTTGGTTTTAGCAAGAAATAAATGTTTAGTGACTTGTAGCATCTTTTCTATCCGCACTTATATTATTTTTTTAAATATAAAAATCGTGACATTGTCAAAGCAAGTAAATCTAAAGTTTAAAATAAAGCTATATTTGTATGTGCTATTTTCATATCTAACATAGGTAACACCAATGGCAAATTGACTCAGCCATTAGTAGTCAATAAACAAGATTTGTTACTAAATCTTGAATAATTGGAGGGAGTAACACAGCCAGTGTTTTCACAAAATGAATTAATAATGGATAATGAATTGCAATATAGCAAATTGTACTTTTACTTGAAATTATCTTAATCAGTTTGTTTTATTATGACATCAAGCGATAGGACGAACTAGTATCCATGACAGTTGCAGTGCCACTGAGAGCTTTAAATTACAAAAATTCCTTCAACTTCATATAATTTTTTTTAAATAATGAGAGGGAGTTCTGCTGTAATTGCAAGCATGTGAGACTTGTTAAATTGGGCAGCAGGTGCAGTGGCAGTGCCCCTCAGATCTAAGCTATTTCAAAATGAGGGTGTGTCGATTAACACCAGGTGCACAACTAATATGTCCCGCTGCTAAAAAATTCAAATACAAAAATCTTATTATACAATCTATATCTTATTGGCCAATATTGAAGGTTTCAAACATATTTCTTCAAAGCAATATATCATTTTTAATATACATTTTTAACATTTTCCGTTGCATTATGATAACATAAAAGGGGGGTGAAAGCGACGAAATCGATTTAATAGATATTCACGCACCTCCCTATTACCCTGACCTAGCGGCCAGGTTGTGCTGGTCGTAATCACGGGTTACTTTAGTTCTCATTTATATTAATTTATTACACTACGTATAATCACTGAGTACACAAATAATAAATAGACTTTATAGGTTATATCAACAAAAATGTTAATTGATAAAAAAACAACAAAATACTTACTTTTTACGCTTTCTTCGACTAAGATGGCGTGAATAACGAACACGAGAAGTTGTTTTTGACTGTTAGAATAGAACAATACATTGTTTCTCACTTGAAAGTGCTACGAAATACGACCTTTATTGTTACTTCAAACAACAGTTTTGTTCTTTGAATTTTCACTCACAGCGTCCACTTATAATCTAGATTTTTTGAAGTAAAACACTCGGCAGGTAAGAGTTAGTCAGTTATGTAGTAAAACAATAGACAATTATTTAATATTACGTTTACAAAACAATGAATGTAAGAAAATTTGCAAGCAAGTAGATAAATGCAAAGTTTATTGGCATTGCGTTTTGTTTATTGGTTTTGTAATAGCATAACTTCGTTTAACTTTGATTATTCTTATTTTTACGTAATCAATGTTTTTCATTTTTCAGAACAATTAATGTAATCTTAACATTTTCTGTTTTTAACTGTATTTAATTAAACGAAAACTTTATTTCAATTAATAACTAATCACAATTACTACTAGTGTTCCTATAAGCAAAATCAGAACGCAATCAGATTAAATCGATCGATTAAACATATATCTATATTAATAATTAAGCACAACACTACACGTCAAAATAATAAAGCGGCAAGGGCGAGTCGCATATTTGCAGAGTGTTCACAGTTTGGTTTTTGTATTTTACGATTTATTTTAAAATATGTAATTATATTTTAATAGTCATTATATCCAAAAGTACTTTTTATCCTTACTGTGCAGTGTCTCTTTTAGTATTTCTTACAAATAAAGTCATTACGTTCGTTTAGGGAAAGAAAATTTTATGGATATTTAAAGGAACCCCAAACATTTTCTGTGTTAAATTCTGTATGTATAGATGTTTTACTATGTTATATTTTACAATTTCATGATATTTGTACGGTTTTTACAAACTATTGTGTAAGAATAAGGCGCCATGGATCGTATTATAAGTTTAGAAGAAGAGATATTGCAACTACGCAAGACTTTGCAATTAAAAGAGAAAGAATTACAAGAGTTGAAAAAGAAGTGGATTCCGGTGAGTGGTTTTTTACATTATTATTTCTATTATTATGTTTTCACCTACAAGATAGACAAGGCCATACGTCGGGGCCACGTTAAGTCCCCTCTAATGATCCTTTGCTATTGAATAAATCTAATTGTCTTCCTGGAGGCCCGTCTTCTAGCCCCGGCTATAAGACGTAAATGGTTTTGTTATGGTATCAAGTGACGGGAACAAGTCGTGCGCCTGGTGGTAAGCGACACGCCTATCCATAACAGTTGCGGTGCCACTCAGAGCTTTAAATCACAGATCTTAGGGGCACTGCACCCGTCACCTTGAGACAGTTGACAAGTCCCATGTGCCTGTAATTTCACCAGCACTCTAAAATACCTACTTATTTAACAATTCTGCCCTCGTAACTAAAAAAGGCACAACTTTGCGTACTTTGTACAGCAGTTGTGCCGTTCTATGGGCAGAATTGCTGAGGACAAGCGTGCTGTACTTGCCAAGTGAACATGGGGTATGTGGTTTAGTGGAGAAAAATATGGTGTATATCACAATGGTGACTGATTTGATTGAGTAGAGTAGATTGGACAGTCTGGGATTCTTAACAGGGGACAGACGTGTGCAGCGGAGACAGGGTAGTCTCGACGGGAGATGGTAATTGAAGAGCTAGCAACTGAGGGCAATTTATGTGGTTACGCACTACTTTAAAAAGAAATTAAAAAAGCATGGAGTTTTCTCCATTGGTGAAATCAATTTGAAATAATGTAGCCTTTCATTATCTGTAAAGCTTTTTGGCTTTGCCAATTGAGAAAGCGAGGTACCACATGAAATACCTGTTTATTTGCTCCAACTGCAACAAATAAACTGCAAAATACGGCTGCCACACCACACAAGCAGTAGCGGCAGTAAAGATCCTTGTGACAGAGTTTGTCCAATGAAGTGTTGCCATCTTAACTATTTCTGCCACCAAACAATAATGTGAGCATTACTACATTCCGGTTTTGGAGGGTAATGGAGCTGGTGATATTATAGGCACACGGGACTTGTCAACTTATGCTCGGGTGACGAGAGCAGTGGCATTGCCCCTCAGATCTTTGCAATTTAAAGCTCTGAGTGGCTGCGAATTAAGGCTCTTGAGTGTAAATGCAACTGTTATGTACAGATGTGTTGTTCATCCCGTCACTTGATGTTATAAAAAAGAGAGATCATCAGCAAACATGAATAAATCAAAACCTAAACCAATAATTATATTGAGATATTAAATAATAGGGGACCCAAGTGCGATCCCTGTGGAACACCTGACACCACGGTTCTAGGGGTTGATTGATGACTGTTAATTACAACACAGAAAATTGATTTGTTATATGAGACATTAGTTTTGTCTGGACTGGGCAAAGAAATTTCCCAAGGAGCCATAAACACATACGTTTATTCAAAGAATATTGTGCAGCACGCAGTCGAAAGCTTTGCTGAAGTCTGTATATAGTAGAGTATATTAATAGTATTATTGGAGAAGAGTAGGTCTTAATAGATGTCACAGGGCAATGGAAGATATGGAGGGGGCATATGCCATGAGGTATGCAGAGTTACAATATTTATGTAATGTTAATCAAGTAGTGGGTACAGTAGGTACAGTAATGACACTTCAATTCTGGCTACCATTACCAACTATCAGGAATCTTACCCATGACATCTTTCCTTATCCAGCGCCCATAATGCAAACCTTTGCATCACCGAGATCATCATACATTGATAAATAAATATGTTTAAAAAGCTTATTTTTAAATTCTAGCTGCAACAAGTGAACGGAATCAACCAACCTGGGGAAAACCAGGAGTTTTTTAACGCAAAAGCGCAGTTTGATCGGCTTCCAAAATGGGCAATAGAAAGGTAAGATAATACATAATGAAGTCTTTTTTTTATGATACCCAGTAATGAGACGAACAGTCTTGTGCCTCTTGGTAAGCGACACGCCTGCACATGCAGTTACAGTGTCACTCCTTCTAAATGTTATCGCCCCATCGAAGTAATCGATGATTTCGCCAGTGTCAAGTTGAGGAACACTTCGGCTTTGGCACACAAGGCTTTGGGGAACGGCTTCCGCACTCCAAGGCACTTCGCCTTGCAGTTGGCCATGCCGGAGCTTTGCAGTGAGATATATCATATAGTACTCTGGTTGTAGTACCTTGATTGAAAAGGTGTTTATTATATGGACCGTGATCCGTTAGTGCTGTAGTTAAAGTGCGTTGCTCCTTGGACTCTAGATGGACTGGCATTGAGCATGGGGAGTGCTTCCCTGTCCTGTCTACAAACCGTAAAGGTTGTCCAGGTCACCCTGACATATGAAATTGACAAGTCTCATATACTGCTCGGTGGCAGAAATAGGTATTGTCGCTGTACTTCCCTGTATGAACTCTTATACAAGGCTACTGTTAGTAAACTCTATAGCTCTCTTTCTGGATCTCCCAGTGCCACATACATCCAATCACTTCCAGCCACCTTCCCCAGTATTGTCCTATGCTGTGTTTTCATTGATGTGGTTGCCACTGATCAGGTCAGTTCCATCGACCATCAACCTGTCTGCAGACATAATTATAATAATAAGAAAGTCTCTACATGACCTTGCAAAAAGCTGTAATTTTCAATAAATGCCGCATCATCAGAAAGTTCATGCAAATGAAAGAGGACAAAGTAGGGTCTTATTGCACACCCACCACATACTCGTAGGTACACGCCATACTGCATTTACTTGACTTCAGTCCGTGAATGCGTTTCAAACCAGCTAACAAGCTGAGCAGAATAAAGTAAATAATAATAATAATAGTTTATTCAGTATAACAACAGTAATACCATAGATGACAAAAACACATACAATTTATGGTTATACATAAACTGACAAAAAAAAAAGACATCGGACAGGCCATCAATCAGTTCCCAAACTAGGGTAACGCTGTACTTTGGAAGCTGACGACGATTTTCCGCCAGTAAACAAAATCACAAATATTTTACAACTGGTTATGAGGACGTGTACAGAATAGCGTAAATATAATGTAAGTAAACAAAACATGACCTGCCGATAGCCATTTTGGCCTACTCACAGCCACTTCAGCTTACTGATTTTGCGAACTATGTCAACAATATTAAGTTTTATGGAATGTCACTATCTTTACTACCATGATATTAAATTTTTGAGAAATTACTAGTTTATTATAATTAATAATAAAAAGATCGAACACGTAGAAAAATCCCTTCAATGCGGCTTTACTCGAACCAGTGACCACGCCATAACGTGGCTGACGCTGTTCCAACTGAGGCACGGAACATACCAGCCAGATCCTACGAATTTCTCTGTGTGCTTGTTGCAGATCTTTTTTTGTTGGTTATAACTAATTTTTTGCAGTTACTATATGAGTAGTTGTTAGTTTTTTTAAGAATTTATTTTTTCATTATGTGTTATTCTCCACAGATACAGTCGCCAAATTCTTCTCCCCGACATTGGAGTCGAAGGACAACAGAAGCTATGTTCGGCTAAAGTCCTCATTGTGGGAGCCGGCGGCCTTGGATGCCCAGCTGCCATGTATCTTGCTGGCTCTGGTGTGGGTAGGTTACAGATTACGCATCTCGATAAGGTGCTCGAATTTTGAATTAGGAATAAAAAATTGTCTATTAAGCGATAAATAAGATACTACTAACGACAGTTTGTAAGAAGGCCGAAGTCGAACGCTGAGGGCTTTAATCGACTCGAAAGTTGACTTGTATTTTTTTACTGCCGCGTGTTTTTCATCATATTTGCGAGGAACACACGCACGCACGCACGCACACGCACACGCACACGCACACACAGGCACACACAGGCACACACACACACACACACACACACACACACACACACACACACACACAACATTTACGGTTTTTGCAAATGGCGGGTATTTTTTTTTTTTTCAACAGATTGCCACATAGACACATACCATCCCATAGAAAGATAATACAACTCCAACTAACACTGTTTAGGAGCAAGTGTAATGAAAAAAAAACTTAAATCTTCTTCTTGTCTAGTCAATAGCAAAAACCAATAACAAACCAGTGTTATATTTCTTTGGCCCAATAAGCAGTAACTTCTATTCCCCTATCTGTTGCCATTAACAGGTTAGGAGACATAATTTGTGTGGGGGATCTGCAAGCACAATGTTTTTAAGTCGGAATGATATATCCGCCTTTTCACCATATTATCTCTACATCGGCCAATTTGTGACCTAGGGGGTAGATTCAGAACCTTACTATAACTCGGTTGTCAACCGATTTGCTTTCATTTTTATTCACAACACCCGAATCGAACGGAAATGATGTCACACCCGTACGATTACTCGAACTTCTCGACCGGCAAAGGCTACAAACGTTATTCAGAACACAGGTATTGAATGAAAGTTTCCGAACGTCCTATTGTTTACAAACCAAGAATGTAATATGGAAGTCTCTTATTGTTTTAAATAAAATCTGGATTTTGTTCAATTTTATTAATTTATTTTAATGCATTCCTACATTTTAGGCCTTTAATATTCGGTTAAATATTTATTTATTTATTATATTTTATTGACTACAACACAGAGTGGTACAAAAGGCGGACTTAATGCTAAAAGCATTCTCTACCTGCCAACCTTTAAGGAAAACGAAATTCACGAATGCGACAAATTATTAATAATTTAATAATAACACAAGTATAATAAATGTATAATCAAATATATAACAAACAAACCTAACATATACAAATTATCTGTATACATAATACGTATATTTGTATATGATATATACAATAACAGAAGATGAAGCTGATGATTATCGCTGTGACAAATATCGAGGAGTTCTGAATCGGGGTCCAGAGACAATTCTGGGATTTCCATATTGACCACTGCAACTCGCAAAAAACTTAATAGTCAATAGCCATCACCAGTAAGCTGACAACTAGTCAAAACCAATGTAATATACCCAAATACGATATATTATTAATACAAAAGATGGAACACAAAAAATAATTCCTTCTATCCGGATGGACTCGAACTAGCGACCACATCATCTCGTCACTGACGAGAGTATCTTTAAGAGATAAGTTTAAGGAAATTAATATTCTTACACTAGCGTCACAGTACATCTATGAAAATGTAATTTATGTTAAGAGGAATAGTAATCTCTTTATAATAATAATAATAACGCACACACTCAACATAGCCCCGCACTAGGTAAACCCTGTGTCGCGGGTGCCATGGACACACACATAGACAACCACAAATTACACCCAAACTCACGAGAGAAATAAATGTAGGCTATACACATATTTCTCCCAGCCTGGGAATCGAACGCAGGACCTCTGCATGGCAAAAAAAAAAGAAAAAAGAAAAAAAAAGTCCGGCATGGTAACCGTTCGGCCACAGAGGCAGTTATAAAAAACAGCGACAGACATAACATTAATACGAGGAATAAAAATAAACTCTGTTCTTGATAGTCGTCTTCACGAAGTCACAAATTCATTTAAGGGGCCAATGTATACGCTTCTATAATAAGATTCCGGTTGATATACAAAATTTTCTATTCACGAGGTTTAAAACTACAGTGAAACAAAAACTTTAGACTAAAGGTTATTATACAACTTCTGCGTAATTGGATGACAAAAATCCGTGGTAGTAACCAGTTTGTCTCTGATGTTTGAAAGCAAAAACAACAAAATATATTGTAAATGTTGAATGCGTACAAATGTCGTTTACAAAGAGCAACCCCTAGAGTTTCTTGCTCATTCTTCTCAGGGGAATCTGCCTTACGAATGAGCGGTAGAGTTTAACCATTGTGACGATTTCAAGTGTAATAATGCTTACCTATGAAATAAAGATTATATTGAATTTTGACGCTCTCGTAATTGAGCTACGGAACGAACGAGTAGACCTTACGAATTTCTCTATGTGCTTGTTGCAAATCTTTGTTTATAGTTTTTTAACGCTATAATAACGATGGTTCTACTGCAAGTACAGTGTGAATCATAATTAGATGTCCAAAATTTAAACAAAAGGGATAAATGACCAAAAAATACATTTTCACCTTACTAGCTCGGAAAGGTTTTCTTTCTCTTTAGAGATCTTCGCGCAAAAGCATTTTTTCCACGCTAGCGTGGAAAAGGTTTTTGAAATTCGAACTCGGCGATGAACTGTGGTGCACCTAACTATTTCTTTCGATGAAAAAAAACGTAATGACACGTTCAACTACGCGATTTGTGGCATATTATTTATGTAATATAAATGTTGGTGTATTTTATTTTTATTATTGTTGACATTAAATTTGACACTGACAACTAATTTTGTAGTTGAAGAGATGGGTAATCTGTAGTCCTGCAGTGGGAATTATAATAGATTAACTGATCTTTTGTGTTATTTCAGGTGAAATAGGCATTGTCGACTATGATACAGTGGATCTGACGAACATACACAGACAGGTCTTGCACGGCGAGACAGACCAAAATATGTCCAAGGCAGACTCTGCGGCGCAGGCGCTTAGAAAGTATGTTATTTATTTATATTTTAGTAGCAGTAATGCTCCTTGTGACAGAGTTAGTAGTTACTGTTTCTGCCGTCAAGCAGTAATGTGCTGTTACTGCGTTCCGGATTTGAAGAGTAAGGGTGCTTTATGTCCAAGGTGACGGGTACAGTAGCAGTGCCCTTCAGGGCTTTGCTTGGTCGCTTACCTCCAGGCGTACGACTTGTTCATCCCATCACTTGTCATCATAAAAGAAGCCGGAATTGTAACTCTACTTCCATTCCTTTCCGCAGTAATGTAAATTTAGTCTTAAAGAATTTGACACTCTGGTCATAATCACCCACTTAGGGCCCTTGTGCCACAATGCTATTGTAATAATGTAATATATTTGTTTCAGTATAAACTCTCGAATAACTATAACTCCGTTCAACGTACAGTTGTCCTCGTCTAACGCTTTACAAATAACATCTCAATACGACGTCGTTCTCGACTGTACCGACAACGTGCCGACGCGATATATGCTAAATGATGTGTGCGTACTTAGTAAGGTAAGTTATAGCAATTATATTCTGGTGAAATTACAGGCACCTGGGACTTGTCAGCTTATGTCATTGCCCCTCATGAGCCTACATTTCAGGAGGTTGGGGGTCCAATAATCCACTCGGTTCTTCTTCTTATCGTATTAGACATTATGCTATTGTGACCCAGAACTCAGCCACGCTGACCGCGTCACTAGCAGCCGCCATTAAAGCCTCAAGCGTGCAGGGTGTTAGGGCACGCAGGACACGATTTGAGGTGGGCCATCGTTTGAACTGCATCGCACAAGCAGTCCAGGTTAGAATCATCCGAAAATCCCCACCTGAACAATTTGTCCTTGCTCCGACTAACCTGAGCCCGAAGCCTATTCAAAGACGTCCAGGTCGGCCATGGCAATTCGTATCCAGGAGGAAGACTCTCAGAAGGCGGGTCAAACGTAGACGGTACAGTCATATACTTTACACTAGATACCTGACCCGAAAACCGACTTTGTCGACCTTTTGGTTCTGAGCGCAAAAATGTGTAAATGGTCGTTTCCTTAGTGAATGACATTGTTAGAAAATTTTTAAGCCAATTTGATCTTTAATGTATGGTTCTTACTTAAATAGGCCATCGTGGCCTAGCGGTATAAGGATTACTTTGCAAGTTGAGGCAAGCATGGTTCGAGTCACATTAACAATAAAATATCATTTAGCTAAGACTATATATTGTATTTTTTGTTTGTTTTTAACCTATAGATAGGTGTACGGAATGTCTAAGTCTTGTTCATACAGAAAACTAATTTCTAATTTTAATAATCCCGTTAAGTGCGGTATATTAAAACAAGAAAGAAAACTTTCAAAGTTACTAACACTTTGAAAGTAATTAAAACTGAATAGATAAATGGGAACGAAACGCGGAACAACGCGTAATCACAGAAGACACGATCGTATGCAAATTGCAGAGCGATTTTGTGATTTATTGGTCTATCCATACACACCCTACGCTTTATTAATAATATCTACCCACCCACCTTAGGCATTGTCTAGTGAGCAAATATTGTGATTTGTCAACGTCAAAAAAGTGAAACAATGCTGTTAAAAATATAAGAAACCAGTGCTCGTGGAATCGAACCATGGGTATTGTAACTGGCATTCGACAAAACAAACCGCTTGACCAATTTACTTGGATGTTAAATGACGAAATTTAGTATTGGTTTTAAAAATATGTTGATCATCTTCAAGCAACACTCCACTGTATCGCTTATACAATAAAGTTGAAATTGCTTTATTGCTTTTTTGTTTGTTCAATACGTAAGATGGCTCTCAGAACCAAAAGGTCGGTTTGGGCATGTTAGGGGGTCACCGATCTCATTTATATGACTATACTCTTTCGCGCCAAAAGTTGCTCCTAGACTGAGCCGGCTCAAATCTCAGACTCCACTCCGTGTAAATTAATATGAATAAAATAAGAACAGGCGGAAATAAAAATCACTCAGATCCGACGTCGACTACCGCCCGATGGCGACTGCCGGGGCTGCGGGCGGCATGTCGTTAAACCGCTAGGCAATTAGAAAATTTCGGTTTAATTGTGAATTTTTATTATGAATTTAGCAGGTTCTCTGTACTACTTCAAGAGAAATATCTCCATATAAAAATTATGTACAAGTCAGTCATTTTATTCTGAAATAATCCGTTTTAGACTTTTATTATAGTCTGTTTTCAGGAGTTTATGTGATCGGTTAAAGTCCGTCCTATCGTGTAACAAATTAGCACATTCTTTAGACACTATTCTTAGACGCATCGATAGTAAATACTTAAACCATCTCTCCATAAGCTCTGAGTGGCACTGCAACTGCTATGGATAGACGTGTCGCTTACCACCAGGCGCTTATCAATAAATTGCCACCTATTCACCCATAGATAATACAACTCCAACTAACACTGTTTAGGAGGAAGTGTAATGAAAAAAAAAACTTAAATCTTCTTCTTGTATAGTCAATAGCAAAAACCTATAAAAATCCAGTGTTATATTTCTTTGGCCCTCTTCATATTAGCAGGTTTTCGCGGGTGCATCTGGTCGGACACAGTGGACATGAGAGCAAGTATGTCTCATACTTTGTGTGGGGGACCTGCAAGCACAATGGTTTTATATCACAAGAAAAAAGAAAAGAAAGTTATCTGTGGTACTTAATGTTATAATCTTTTTCAGTTACCTCTAATATCTGGAAGCGCTTTGAAAATGGAAGGACAAATAACCATCTATGGATACAGAGCAAACAAAAATAGCAACGAAAAGGTTAGAAGTTTGTATATTCCTTAACAGAGGCGGCTCGCGGAAGATTTCAGAGGGAACTCACTTACCTATACATAATTTCACATTATATTGTTCCATTTTAAACAATGTCACTAAACAACACTACGCTCTTAACAACGATTGAATAATACTTTTACAATACAATAAAATGCGAGCGAAAAAAATACGGTTTGTTTATTTGACGAATAAAACTGGCAACAGCGCGCGGA